CCAGCCTGGCCCCTCCCTGCCCGTAATAGTGCTGAGCTTTCCTGCCGCCTGGCAAAGCCCTGGGGCAGGCATGGCTGAGTCAGGCCTCCTGCACCCTCATCATCCTCTTGGGGTGTCAGGGGAGGCTGAGGCACCGGAATGTCCGGTCCGCCATCACGTGCCCAGGCAGCAGCCAGCCCCAGGAACCCGGGAGCTGGGCCACCGTGGGGCTGCTGAGGCGTCCTGCCCTGGCCTCCAGCTCCGGCAGCCTTCCCGATGGGAGGCTCAGCCCAAAGCTGGGAGGCAAACCCTTCGCCCTGGAGGCAGGGGAGCAGAGACCCTGCTCCTTCTCCAGCTGCTGTCCTCTGCCGGCGACCTCCTGCCCGTCGCCCGGTGGCAGCTGTCCCCCTTGGTGGCCGTGGAGCCCCAGGGCAGGCTCAGCTTACACAGCACTGACTCGGTCCAAGGTGTTACGGCACAGCTGCTTCTCGCTTACGCAGGCTTGGAGCTGTGTCCCTTGTCCCCTGAGACACAATGTCCCAGCCTGGAGGTTACGTGGGAGCTCACAGCCCTCCGCAATGGCGCAGGCAGAGGGGGGACCCTGTGTGAAGCACCTTGCCTGCTCCAGCCTGCGGGTGGTTTGGGGCAGAGGGGCTCTGCGCCCACCTGGTCGTGCCGAAGGGGTGGGACAGCCTCCTGCCTGTTCCCCGAGGCGGACGAGGCAAGGAATCCCTCTGGGTATCTGCATTTCCCTGTACGAAAGGTGGCCCCAAGCAGCCCTGGGGGGAATGTGCTGCAAAGCGTTTTTTCCCTGCAAGGGGCCGGAGTCACCAAGGGGTGTCCTCAGAGAGCAGAGAGAGACCCCAGTGCCCCGGGGCGCTGCCGGCAGCCCTTCTCCGGCACTCGTGGAGAAGCTGCCCTGACTCCAGCACCGCCTCCCCATCGCTCGCACACCCCAAAGAGATGGGACCTGCCCAAGGTTCCGCATGCAGCCGGGGCCAGCCTGGCCAGGGCCCTTCCCCTACCAGCCACGGAGTCCGAGAACCCTCCAAACTCACGCCACATGTGCTGGCCGGGAGTCATCGCCCTGGACTGTGCTGCTGACACATACCCACCCGGCTGCAGAACCTGCTGCTTGCCACTCCCGAGCCACCCCCCTGGCAGTAAAACCCCAAACACACGGGAAACCTTGACGTAAGATCCAGGGCATGTTATTGCTTTGAGGTCTGCGGGTGGAAAAAAAGAAGGGACCCCGGGGAAGCGCTCAGGCACGCGGCTCTGCCCGTGCTGGGGGACGAGGAGGGTGCCGGGGAGCGTGGCTTGCTGGCAGGGAGCTGCCAAGTTTTCACGTGTGAACTCTGAACCTGCTCTCTGGAGATGCAGAGACTGCAAGCCTCTCCCCCATGGTTCTACCCAGCCAAAGGAAAAGGCGGGGGGGGGGGGGGGGGGG